CCCCCACCCCCCGTGTCTGACCACTAGAGGTACACTTATTAAAAAAGGTTGAAAACTCCTGGCTTAGCCTATCCAGAATGGAACGAAAGGGGACTAGCTACCTTAACTTACACCAGCCAGTATAGTCTGCATTCGTCCAAATGGGGTATGGTGACTCCTTTTCCCTTTCCTACTGTACATGCCAGGTAAGATGCTTTTGCACCAACCCCTAGTTCAGGATGTGGCTTAAAACCATAGTTTGGTCTTTACTCTGCTGTTTTATCAGTATTGATAGTATGTCGAATTAATTTCAACACAATAATTTTGTTAATAGATTGTTATCTTTTTTCGTGAAAGCGCTAGAACCCTTTACAGTCCTGCATATAAAGGTGCGGGCTACTTACACCTACTGTTTCTGGATATAATCTCACTGCAGGGAGAGGTTTCTTATGATGTTCACCATTATTAAAGTTGCTAGGTGCATTACTGGATTCCTTGCCACCTCTTAAAGCATTGCATTTTATCTTCTGTCAGGGACAGGATGTAGGATTTGATGGATTACTGATTTTATCTCCCATGGCAAATCCTTTACTGCTATGTATCATAGTTTACTATGGTAAACAAAGTGTAGCATAAAATGATTGGCTTTGTCAAGATTGAATGAGAAACACACCCATCTTACGCAATATTCCAGTTATTACATCTGATATATTTCTACTAGTCTTCGTAGAAGAAAGGTCTACAATACAAACACGGATATAGCCGCTTACACTTTTGAAACAGCCTTCTATCCTAAATAGGGAAAAGAAAACAGGCCAAATTCATTCCTGGCCTGACTCATCCATCTGTGGTATTTATAGTCCGATAATTGTAGTATTCAGGTACTAACTCGAGTGCAGTAACACCAGATGTGACTTTGGCACAAAGAAAGCAAATATGACTCATACATGTGAAACTTCATATCTTGCACTCCATAAAAATCTTGTTGCTAACCTTTATCTTTCTGTTTTCTAATCCTGGATGTGGCAAAGTCAGCTGAATGATGCCAGGAACAATCAAATTATTTTTTCTCCTAGATGTCAGCAGCCTCACCCAGGTTAAAAGGAAAAAACCTGAACCAGGCAGCCATGCCTTTCAGGATGAAAGGGGCAGAGCCAGATCCACTAGCACCCCTTCACCAGCGCGGCACATGTGCAGCGAGCTCTTTGAGTTCACCACAGCTTCTGTCAATGAAGCTTCCATTGGAGCCTGCAGTGGTGTGGCTCCACAAGCCAGGGGGTGAATGCTGCTATCACTTGCCCCCAGCCCCTCAACCCCCTTGCTACTAAATTCAGTAAGGGGCGAGGGCGTGGGATGGCAAGCAACAGTGAGGTTCTCTCCTGGGTTCTAGAGTTGCACTCCTGAGCTAGTTTACTACAACAGCTTACCGAGCATGCACTGCACAGCTAAGTGTGGCCTCGCATGCCTGACCCCATGCTCTCCCCACATCTGCCCATACAGGATAAATCAGAAGCTCAGTCCCTATGAAGCTGAATTAAACTACATGGAATAGCGTGTCTGTGACTTTCCCTTCATATAGCTTGTAGCATCTCATGCAGATGCGCCTAGTGAGATCAAAATTTGACACTTATATGTGTATTTAAGTTAGTCGTTCATTTAACTTTGCTTCTGAGTAAGATACTGGAACAAGTTATTAAACCATCAATCTGCAGACCTTCTGATGAAAGATGTCTCTTCATATGAATGTTACCATGAAGAGAGATCTCAGAGGACCTTAAACACTAGCATGTGATAGCACCCATACTATTAGGGAACGGCAGGCTGATAGAGTCCTGTAGAATGGCTCCAGTCAGTACAGAACTGGAGCAACGTAGAACCCCTGGCACCCCTAGGTGCCTCCTCCTGACTTTGCAGGTTCTGACTCCTCTCACCTAAATTGCTTACATATTATAGAGCTGGGCCATGCTGAAAAGCATGTAAATCAACAAGGTACATCTGCTTCCCTGAAATACACTGTATAATACATCTAGATAGATACTGAAGGATTAGGTAACAGTGGGTGTGTCTATCGTGTGCTCCTGACTGCCAGTTGTTACTGTGCAGTCATTCAGTACTTGGTTTAACAAGTACTAAATGACTGTGCGGTAATCACCATTACTGCGCAATCTCGGTGACACATGGGTCCTTTCCAATACTACTGCGCAGTAGTATCAGCATCACTGTTTGTGCCTATCAATGCTACACTGTAACAATGTGCTATGTCGCCGTAGCTTGTCGCTATAGCAATGTAGCATCTCATGTAGATGCGCCCAGTGAGATCAAAATTTGATGCTTACATGTGTATTTAAGTTAGTCATTCATCTAACTTTGCTTCCAAGTAAGATACTAGGACAAGTTATTAAACCATCAATCTGCAAACATCCAGAAAATAGTAAGCTGATAAGAAATAGCCAACATGGATGTGTCAAGAATAAATCATGTCAAAATAATCTAATTTCCCTTTCTGACAGGGTAGATAGCCTACTGGATAGGGGCTAGCACTATCTATGGTGTATTTTGACTTTAGCAAGGCTTTTGACAATATCCCATATGACATTCTAATAAGCCAACTAGGGAAATGTGGTCTAGATGAAATTATTACAAAGTAGATGTGCAACTAGTTGAAAGACTATATCCAAGAATATTTATCAATAGTTCTCTGTCAAACTTAGAAGATGAATGGAGCAAACTCCTGAAGGGTTCTATCCTGGGTCTAGTACTATTCAATATTTTCATTAATGACTTGAATGATGGAATAATGATTTTATATATACAATGTGAAGATGACATTGAGTTCAGAGTGGTTGCAGGCACTATGGAGGAAAGGATT